TCAGCCCGTATACCCGGGTTTATGCCCCAAAATATATATATAGTATAGTATGTGTCGGTGCAGCTGGGAAATAGTCCTGGGAAATCCCATTTTAGCCCACTGCCTCTGGCTGCTGCCTCACTTATTCATGCCCTCATTTCATTTACGCATTTCGTTTGTCATCCTTTGTTTCCTTTGGCGGTCGCTGCTGCTCTTGCTCCTGCTCATGCTCCTGCTGCTGCTGCCACTTTTGCTGCTGCTCCTGATGGCCGTGGTTTTGCCCCTTTCCGCCTCAGGACTGTGCAATTAATGCGAGCAGCGAGCGGTGTGTCAGGTCATCCTGTGCATCCTTTGCGCGTTGACATCTACTTAAAACTTCACCAGCGGCCAAGTGGGGAATCGATTCGGGAAGCGGCATCCGGCTGAATTATGGATACGAGTCAGCGGAATTCCTTAAGTTCTGCAAGTTCTCGGAAATTGAGCAACTGCTCGGCTCGAGACTAAAGTTTTCCCGGCGACAACTGGAGCCTAGGAATGAAACTCGGAGCTCCAGTTAGAACTTTTGCACTAATTCAGCGATTCTTCCCCCATTAATTAAGCAATTTCGGCAGGAAGGCAGCTGGAGCGTATCCACGCCATTGATTTTGTGTCCGCCTCGGCAAAGTTGGATCCACTCAGCTTGGCTCTGCTCTGTGCAGCTCAGCTCCACAATTAAGTGGAGATGTCAAGTGGCTGCTGTTGGCTTTGACTACGCGGAAGCGCGGATGCTCGGGCTCTTGGCAGGCGGACATAAATCCGCTCGGCGATACGCGCTAATGGAGCGCGAGTAGATCGCCGCGGGGGGACGGGTGAGGGCGTTCTCTGATTTGCATTTAAATGCAAGTCCTTCGGAATCCGCATTGCTCCTTCGCTCCTCCTAAGTCCTGCCAGTCTCCGGTTGCGCCGGCTGCTCAGCTGCTGTACTTCCTGTACTACTTGTTTCGCCGCTGGCACACTTTTAATTTGTAAGCCATGTTGCCAGTCAAGTTACCTTCCTCTTCCTTGGTTCCCTGTAAATTCAGCACTTGCAAAAAAAACCTCATTCTATGATTTATGTATGTACAAATTATATTTAAAAAGGTCCTTGAGACATTGAAAATGATTTCAATAGAAGATTAATTGATTTCAAACATACAAATCTTAAAAGGGTCTGATATGACTCCTTCTTGGTTTTTCTGAATTTATAAGAAATATAGCTTTTTCAAATAGTATCCCAAGGTTGTGAAAACGATACACATGTAAGATAATTTCCAATCTAAAGGATCTGCTTATTAAATGTCGAATTTATTAAAAGCCCAACTAATTTTTCTTCATGCAGTGCCACACATCCTTCCTTCTCTCCTTGCCCGCAACTTTCCATATGCATTGCTTTGGACAATGTTATCGTTTAAGCTCAATTGCATTGCTCTGCCCGTCCTGTTTGCTTGTGTTTGTGGGGCTGACAGTGGGCGGAATTGGGTGGTTTTTCCATTGTAATGGCGGTGGGGCGTGGGGAGGAATGGGTTTTTCGGTCAGAGGTTTGCTGGCAGCTTGCATTTGTTGCTGCTTGTTGCTTTTCCGCCTTCGGCGGGGTACAACAGCAGCATCAGCAACAACAAAGGAAACTTTTCTTCTTTCGATTCTTTCGACATTGCTTTCTCCGCTTTTCCATTTTCAATGAACAAGTGTGTATGTGTGTGTGCGCTGTTGTTCTGCCATGTTTCTGTTGTTGTTTGCGAAAAACTTTTTGTGCCCGAGCTCTGTTCTCCGTTTCCGCTGCAATGGCAGCTTCCTTTTGTCGTCCTCGATTGCATTTTGCATGCTTAACAAAGGCCATTTCAAATGGTTTTCCCTCGTTCAAATTTAATTGGTGCCCAGGCGAGTGGAAATTAATTTCCCGCCAACCGAAATACACTTTCACTCTGAGCTGAGCTGAGTGCTTCTCGTCTGGCATTTGGCACTTGGCACCTGGCACTTGGCATTTGGCACTCGGCATCTAAGTTATGCCTTGGCTCCCCCAGGATTCTGTCGGGCATTACGTATACGCCCGGTGGGTCCAGCAACTCTAATGTGGCTTTAATGCAGTTGGATGCTCACACGTCTCGCCAGGTGCATTATTTTATATTGTTGTTATCCAGCCATTTTCACTTAGTTTTCTTGGGCACAGCAGAGTGTCTAGACCGGAGACAGGCGCATTTCCGGCACGCAAGCCTGCCGCCAGACAATGAATTTTATTGCATTTCATGTCCTCGAATTGGCTAATGTCTGCCTGGCACGCGAACGCCTTATCCTGGCCACGAATTTATGGTAATTCCGCAGACAGTCGACAGTGAGTCAGTCCCCTTTGGAGCTTTACCGCCACTTCATTCAAACAAAACAAGCAATAATATTAATTTGCCCCAAAAGGGAAACCGCTTAGACAAGATTCAATTAAGTTTTTGCTGAAACGACGGCGGAGACAATCATTTCCCCCCTAATAATGTTGATCAATTTTCATTAGCCTGCCTGCGACAGAGGAGAAAAATCAGCACAATCAGCTCTCCTGCCTCGACGCGCTCATTATGGGACGCTCGGAAGCTGGCCACGCCCCCTCCGGGAAAGCCGCAGTGGGGGGCGGACCGTGATAAATTTCCATCAAGCTTAAAGTTGACACGTTTCGTGTTTCCTACTTATTTTCCAGTCCGTCCTGCTCTGTTTACACTTCCTTCCCTCGTTTTTTGTTTGCTAGAGCGGCCAAGACGAAGCTGAAAAGAAATCCGGAGAATGCGAACGAGAACTTTTGCAGGGGCTGGATAATATTTCAGGTACACCTTTCGAGGGACCGACCGGGGGGCTACTTAAAAAGTTTCCAGCTGCTGGTGCTCTTCGAGGGGCGGCTGGTTGTCTCGTAAAACGCGAGTGTTTATGGCCAACCCTTCCTGGCCAGCCGCAGTTCCAGAACCACTCCCAGTAGCATTTCCCATTTCCCCGACTGATGGTGGTGGTGTTCCTTACACGTGGGAAATATTTGGCAGGCTTCCTGCCCGGCCCTAAATTGGACAGTTCCCCCCATTCGCAGTCGAAGCCCCACATATGGCGCTTATATATCGCGCGTCATAACTTTGAATTACGATTGCCGCCGCCGGGGGACTGCCGGGGGTGGCAATAAAGCAAAATGGCAACTCGGCTCGGTGACGCATTCTTAATTAGCTTCCGAGAACTTCAATTATGCAGGCCGAACAGAACTGCAACTGCAGCAGCCGCCAAAAATTATTAATTAGTTCGGGAAAACTATGGAAAAACAGCTTTCGCTTTCCAATTGTTGTGCCCGCAACGTGTGAAAATTTAATAATTTCATGTTTGCTGGCCGCGCGCAAACCGCTGTTTCAGGCTTGACGGACCATGAAAAGAGTCTGCCCCGGCTTTCGGGCCCAGGTGGAAATGTGGAAAAGCGGAAAAGTAGTAGTAGTGCCAAGGGGTGTGCCGTCGCCTGGCAAAACAATAACAATAACAGCGTCTGGGCCGGGGTCTGGCACACGTCTGCCGGCAGCGCGGCCAAGCTGAAATTTTAATTAAACATTTTAACACTGCAATTAACACGGCGACAAGCGACTCGCCACACACGCACGCCAACTGCAGTCTTGGGGATTTCGCCGAAATGAAAAAAACCCACGGAAAATAACACAGGAGCGGCTGCCAGACATAAGTTATGGCTCCTTGGGAATGTGTACGCCTCCTTAAGAGTCCTCGGAATGCGTTGACTACCTCATACATTAATATTTTGAAAACAAGCCTTTATTATGGCTTTTTCGAGTTAAAAATTAAGCTTTTAAATCTGTATTTTTAAGAATTTATCAGCGAATGCTTTTAAATAATAACTTTAAGGTGAAACTAGCAAACAATTCGGTTGCTAAAGACAGCATCCCATGGTAGAGCTCCACCTATGCCAGTTAAGCTTTCATTCCTCCACGAAACGCAAATGCGTTGGCCCGCATTGCGTATACGCAATGCCAGAAATGACCAGGAGCCAGGAACCGGGAAGGGGAACGCTGCCAGGACGTGTCTTTCATGGGGCGAACGTGCGAATTATCTGCATCGAAATGAGCAGCACAATAAGCAAACAGTTTAGTTGCAACATGAATGCGGAATGGAATTCGACACGACCCCACGAGCTTCGCTCTGCTCCACTCCAGCCCCGTGACCTTTGCCAACCCGTTCCACCTGTTCGGGCAGGACCAAGCCCTTCGTCGGGACAAAAGCGTAATGTCCGGAGCCAGTACGTGTTCGTTTGGGTGGCTTTAGTTAATTAACGAACCCAAAACGCTTGCGAAATGGCCATTAGAGGGCCATCAAATCGAATTTCATTAAATTTTCAACACTGGCGACCGAATGGCCAGCGGTAGCTCTTGGTCACCCGAGCCTTGACCGGGTCTACATTGTGGCATTTTGTTGGCTGCTCCTCCACTGCCAATCTCCCGGCCATGTCAACGCTTGTGGCCCGTTGTCTGATTAAGCTGTATATACTTCGTTTCGCTGAAATGTCAAAAACAAAAGGGGGCTGCACAAATTCTGCGCCGCGGCCAAGAGCCAGAGAGTCCTGGAAAAAGATTAAATTTCATTTTATCTAGCTACATATTAGGTAGTCTTCGTGGCGGAAGAGCCAAATGAAATTAAAAATGTTTCCCGCTGCTTTGTAGCTGCCTGGAAAAATGTTGTTGCGAGAGCTTTTTGTGAAGAGTTTTTAATTAAGTCAAAGGCAGCATTAAAACTGACAAAACAGAAGCTTGCACGCGCAGAACAAGAGTTCATATTTGAAAGGAGAAACATGACACAGAAAGGGGAGTTCCCTGAAATTATGTTTTATGACGACTTTAATAATAATTCTCATCATTACAAAATGACAAGTTGATAGTTTACAAGCGATTGATATTAAAGCCACGATCCTTATGCTGCCTACTTTCCAGCGAAAATTCAATTTCAACCCTCGCTCACTCTCTTCTCTCTTTTTCTCCTCCGCCTTGCAGACAGATGGCCACGCCCGGAGCACCGCCCACCGATGATAATTGAATAGGAACATTAATTGCACTGCGGTTTGTTGGCTCTAGCACCACACCCGCGCCCATCCGGCACACACACACGCTCTCGCCCATAGGCAAGAGCACACATCTCGACCGTAATCAGCCGCGTGGTTGAGCCATGCACACGCGGACGTCCCACTGGTGGCCCCTGCTCGGGCTGCTGCAGCTGCTCCTCCTGCTGCAGGTGGCCCATGGCTACCTGATTATCGTGCACGAGGACACGCCACCCGGCACCGTTATCTTCAATGCCTCCGTGTACAAGCTGGGCTCCGAGCGGCACTACAAAATCAATGCCCACAAGTCGGCCAACTTCGTGCATCACCTGGTCTCGGTGAGCCACAAAGACGGCCAGATCCAGCTGAGGAAGGCCCTCAAATGCGATGGCATCTACTACCCGAACCTGTTCACCTTCTACGTGGACTCCACCTCGAACCGGCTGCGCAGCATAGACTACTACAGCCTGCCTGTGCGGATCTTCGTGTCGGGCCACAGCTGCAACGAGGACCGAAGGGTGGAGCAGGAGCTGCACCACCTGCACCACTTCGAGGAGGAGGACAACACGGGCTACTCCAAGCGCCGGCGACGACGCTCCACACAAGAGATTGTCCAGCTGAACGGCAATCAGCTGGAGGAGGTGTTCCGACACAACAGCACCGAGTTCAGGGCCGGAGATCTCATCTTCGGCGACAGTTTCGACAATGAGATGCGGCACAGGATACTGAGTCGCAAAAGGCGGGCTGTGCCCTCGGCGGACCCTCTGCACCTGCAGCCGGCCCTGCACCGCCGCATCTCCGACGCCAAGCAGTGGATCTCGGAAACGTACGCCTCCTATGCCATCCACACCACGGACAAGTGGAACCAGATCTGCCTGAGGCGCTCGCAGTTCATCAACAACCTGAACGCCTTCCTGCCGCGGTCCGTGTGCCAGCACTGCAAGGTGAGCTTCCTGGACGTGAACGACGAGCGCTTCGCCATCGAGCACCAGAGCCGCGACCTGGTTGCCAGCAGGGATGTCTGTATCGCAGAGTCCATGTGGAAGGTGAGCATTACCTTCAACATCCGCTGCGATCGCCAGGACATCGTGGACTCGGATCACCGCCTGAAGATCGTCTACCATCACCAGGAGTTCAATGACACGGACATCGCCCGCAGGGTCAGGAGGGAGCTGCGCAACCAGTCGCCCTACTTTGAACAGGCGCTCTACGTGGCCTCCGTGCTCGAGGAGCAGCCGGCCGGAGCGGCCGTTACCACTGTGCGGGCCCGTGATCCCGAAGATTCTCCGGTGGTTTACTCCATGGTCTCCCTCCTCGACTCCCGCTCGCAGTCTCTCTTCAAAGTGGACTCCCGGACCGGGGTGGTCACCACCTCAGCCAGCTTGGATCGGGAACTGATGGACGTCCACTACTTCCGGGTGGTGGCCACGGATGACAGCTTCCCTCCGCGCTCTGGAACAACCACGTTGCAGGTCAACGTGCTGGACTGCAACGACCACAGTCCCACCTTTGAGGCAGAACAGTTCGAGGCCAGCATCCGCGAGGGAGCCACAGTGGGATCAACGGTCATAACCCTGAGAGCGACCGATCAGGACATAGGCAAAAATGCGGAAATCGAGTACGGAATAGAAGCAGTTACAGGTGAGTTTCGGAGTATCCAGAATCTCCACTTCCAACATTTGTTTCCTTTATAACTCTTTGTTTTTCCTGTTTTTGCTTCTTCTTCAGATGGCGGTGGTTTGGCTCAGGATCAGGAGTTACCCATCTTTCGTATTGACTCTCGCTCGGGGGTGATCTCAACGAGGAGCAGCCTGGATCGCGAGACATCGGACAGCTACCATCTGCTGGTGACCGCCGCGGATATGGCGGCAGCGCAGAGCGAACGACGCACGGCCACCGCCAGTGTCCTGGTGAAGGTGCTCGACGACAACGACAACTATCCGCAGTTCAGCGAACGCACCTATACCGTTCAAGTGCCCGAGGATCAGTGGGGCGGAAGCGAGGACAACACGGTAGCCCATATCCGAGCCACGGACGCGGATCAGGGCAACAATGCGGCGATCCGCTATGCCATCATCGGCGGGAACACGCAGTCGCAATTCTCCATCGACTCGATGTCCGGAGATGTGAGTCTGGTGAAACCGCTGGATTACGAGAGCGTGCGCAGCTACCGGCTAGTGATCCGGGCTCAGGACGGAGGCAGTCCCTCACGAAGCAACACCACCCAGCTCCTGGTGAATGTGATCGACGCAAACGACAATGCGCCTAGGTTCTACACGTCACAGTTCCAGGAGAGCGTCCTTGAGAACGTCCCAGTGGGCTACAACATAATCCGGGTGCAGGCCTACGACTCAGACGAAGGTGCCAACGCCGAGATCACGTACAGCATTTCGGAGAGAGACGACAACTTTCCGCTGGCCGTGGATCCCCGAACGGGCTGGGTGCAGACCATCAAGCCACTGGATCGTGAGGAGCAGGGTCGCTTCGCTTTCCAGGTGGTGGCCAAGGACGGTGGTGTGCCGCCCAAGTCGGCCAGCTCCTCGGTGGTGATCACCGTGCAGGATGTTAACGACAACGATCCTGCCTTCAATCCCAAGTACTACGAGGCAAATGTCGGCGAGGATCAACCACCAGGCACTCCGGTGACCACAGTCACAGCCACAGATCCCGATGAGGACTCTCGCCTGCACTACGAAATCACCACGGGTAATACGAGAGGACGCTTTGCGATCACCTCTCAGAATGGCCGTGGTCTAATCACCATTGCTCAGTCCCTGGACTACAAGCAGGAGAAGCGCTTTGTGCTCACGGTGGCGGCCACCGACTCCGGAGGCCGTTCCGACACGGCCACGGTGCACATTAACATCACGGATGCCAACAACTTTGCTCCGATCTTTGAGAACGCACCCTATAGTGCTTCGGTGTTCGAGGATGCTCCGGTGGGTACCACCGTCCTGGTAGTATCCGCCACCGACAGCGATGTAGGGGTAAATGCACAGATTACCTACTCCCTGAACGAGGAGAGCATCAACGGATTGGGCAGTCCGGATCCGTTTTCGATCAATCCGCAGACGGGAGCTATTGTGAGCAACGCTCCCTTGGATCGAGAGACCACCAGTGGCTATCTGCTCACAGTGACTGCCAAGGACGGGGGCAATCCCTCGCTCAGCGACACCACCGACGTCGAGATTGCAGTCACGGATGTGAACGATAATGCACCCGCTTTCAAGAGCCCCCTGTACCAGGCATCGATTCTGGAGGATGCTCTGGTGGGCACCTCGGTCATTCAGGTGGCAGCCAGTGACCCTGACGTGGGTCTCAACGGACGCATTAAGTATCTGCTCAGCGAGCGCGATGTCGAAGATGGTTCTTTCGTGATCGATCCCACCTCGGGCACTATTCGCACTAACAAAGGCCTGGACCGAGAGAGCGTGGCCGTCTATCACCTGACGGCCATTGCCGTTGACAAGGGATCACCGCCTCTTTCGAGCGCCGTTGAGGTGCAGATTCGCTTGGAGGATGTTAACGATTCCCCACCGACCTTTGCCTCCGATAAGATCACCCTCTACGTACCGGAGAACTCTCCAGTGGGCTCGGTTGTGGGTGAAATTCACGCCCATGATCCTGATGAGGGTGTCAATGCGGTGGTTCACTACTCCATCATTGGCGGCGATGACTCCAACGCCTTTTCGCTGGTTACACGCCCGGGATCAGAGAGGGCCCAACTGCTGACCATGACGGAACTAGACTATGAATCCACCCGCAAGCGTTTCGAGTTGGTGGTGAGGGCGGCGAGTCCTCCCTTGCGAAACGATGCCCACATCGAGATCCTAGTCACGGATGTGAACGACAATGCCCCCGTGCTGCGTGACTTCCAGGTTATTTTCAACAATTTCCGGGACCACTTTCCCAGCGGCGAGATTGGAAGGATTCCGGCGTTCGATGCGGACGTTAGCGACAAGCTCCACTACAGGATCTTGTCGGGTAATAACGCCAACCTACTGCGTCTGAACAGCAGCTCTGGTGGATTGGTGTTGAGTCCTCAGCTAAACACGAATGTGCCCAAGTTCGCCACCATGGAGGTGTCCGTATCGGATGGAATTAACGAGGCCAAGGCCATCATGCAGCTGTCGGTGCGTCTGATCACCGAGGACATGCTATTCAACTCTGTGACGGTGCGCTTGAACGAGATGACGGAGGAGGCCTTCCTCTCGCCGTTGCTCAACTTCTTCCTGGATGGACTGGCGGCTATTATTCCTTGCCCCAAGGAGCATATCTTCGTGTTCAGCATCCAGGATGATACGGACGTGAGCTCGCGCATTCTGAATGTCAGCTTCTCGGCCCGCCGGCCGGATGTGTCCCACGAAGAGTTCTACACGCCGCAGTACTTGCAGGAGAGGGTCTACCTGAACCGGGCCATCCTGGCTCGCTTGGCAACCGTGGAAGTCCTGCCCTTCGACGACAACCTCTGCGTGCGAGAGCCCTGCCTGAACTTCGAGGAGTGCCTGACCGTGCTGAAGTTTGGCAATGCCTCCGAGTTTATCCACAGCGACACTGTGCTCTTCAGGCCCATCTATCCGGTCAATACGTTCGCCTGCACCTGTCCCGAGGGCTTCACGGGCAGTAAGGAGCACTACTTGTGCGACACGGAGGTGGATCTCTGCTATTCGGATCCTTGCCAGAATGGCGGCACCTGTGTGAGGCGAGAGGGTGGCTACACTTGCGTGTGTCCCTCGACCCACACGGGCTCGAATTGTGAGACGGGAGTGGGTCAGCTGCGTCCTTGCCCCTCGGATACCTGTGAGGGAGGCTTGTCGTGTCTGAGTAACTATCCCAGCTCACAGCCGCCTCCGTACACGGCCACCTGTGAGCTGCGAGCCCGATCCTTCGGACGTAACTCCTTCCTGACCTTCGAAAGCCTCAAGCAGAGGCACCGCTTTAACCTCAAGCTGCGCTTTGCTACCGTCCAGGAAAACGGACTCTTGCTGTACAACGGACGATACAACGAGCTGCACGACTTTGTAGCCTTGGAGATACTTGAGGGCCACGTCAGCTTCTCCTTCTCCCTGGGCGACCACAGCGCTAGCGTTTCAGTGATACAAGAGGCCATGGTTTCGGATGGAAGGTGGCACCAGGTGGAGGTGATCTATCTTAACCGCACCGTCACTCTGGTTTTGGATAACTGCGACACCGCCATTGCTCTGTCGGGGCAATTGGGCGACAGATGGAGCTGTGCCAATCGGACTACCCTGAAGCTGGACAAGCGCTGCTCCCTTCTAACGGAGACCTGCCACCGCTTTTTGGATCTCACTGGACCCCTGCAAGTGGGTGGACTTCCCCGCATCCCCGCCCACTTCCCGGTGGCCAATCGTGATTTCGTCGGATGCATCTCGGACCTGCGTATCGATGATCGATTCATTGATCTGAACTCATACGTGGCGGATAATGGCACGCTGGCTGGCTGTCCACAGAAGGCTCCACTGTGTCCCTCCGAGCCCTGCTTCAATGGCGGAACTTGTCGCGAAGGCTGGGGAACCTATTCCTGTGAGTGCCCCGAGGGCTATGCGGGTAACAGTTGCCAGGACAATATTCCGGCTCCGTGGCGATTCTCTGGAGATGGTAGCCTCAGCTTTAACCCGCTCCTGCGTCCCATCCAGCTGCCCTGGACCACCTCCTTCTCGATTCGAACGCGACAGCGGGAAGCTTTCCTCCTACAGATCCAAATAGGCCAGAACAGCTCAGCGGCTGTGTGTCTCCGGCAAGGTGTTCTCTACTACATCTACGATGGGGAACCCATGTTCCTGGCCGGCGCCTTCCTTTCCGACGGCGAGTGGCACAGAGTGGAAATACGCTGGCAGCAGGGCTCTGAGATCCACTTTTCCGTTGACTACGGCCAGCGATCGGGATCGGTTCCCATGTCCCAAAAGGTTCAGGGCTTATACGTGGGCAAGATCGTGATGGGCAGTCCTGATGGCAGCATCGGAACAGTGCCCGAAGCCTCTCCCTTTGAGGGCTGCATCCAAGATGTTCGAATCGGGGCCGGTCAGTCAGTCTTGTCTCGGCCAACGATCCGTGAAAATGTTGAGGACGGCTGCGACTCGCGTTCCCAGTGTCCAGATCACTGCCCGAACCACTCCTCCTGCGTGAGCACCTGGGACATGGCCACCTGTGAGTGTGACACGGGTTTCGTAGGCGCTGACTGTGCGCCCATTTGCACGGTGAGACCCTGTGCCTCTGGAGTCTGCCGGGCAAATGCCAGTTTGTCCCGCGGTTACGGATGCGAGTGCAACAGCAGCTCCCGACACGGCGACTATTGCGAGCGGGAGCTTCAGCAGCCGTGTCCAGGGGGATGGTGGGGTGAGCGGGTCTGCGGTCCCTGCAGATGCGACCTGGCCCAGGGCTACCACCCAGACTGCAACAAGACCACCGGCCAGTGCTACTGCAAGACGAACCACTACCAACCGCCCAATGAAACGGCCTGCCTCTCCTGCGATTGCTACTCCATCGGCAGCTTCAGCGGAGCCTGCAACCCTCTGACCGGACAGTGCGAATGCCGGGAGGGTGTCATCGGGAGGCGATGCGACTCCTGCTCGAATCCCTATGCCGAGGTCACGCTGAGTGGTTGCGAGGTGGTCTACGATGCCTGCCCGCGCTCATTCGCCGCCGGTGTCTGGTGGCCCCGTACTCCGCTAGGAGGAGTGGGTATCGAAGGATGTCCGTCGCCGGCTCGAGGAAAAGGACAACGGAGCTGCGATGCCCAATCTGGCAGCTGGAGTACCCCGGACATGTATAACTGCACCTCTGAACCGTTCGTGGAACTGCGGCGTCAACTCTCCCAACTGGAGAAGCTCGAGCTGGAACTGAACTCCTTTGTGGCCATTAAGATGGCGGAGCAACTAAGAAGAGCCTGCGAGACGGTGGACAGAAGAGGTTCCAGCAAAGATCCCAAGATGACGGGACCGGGACGTCCTGGCAGGCGCTACAAGATGGAGTCCTCCTTCCTGCTTAGCAATGGCGCGAACGTGTGGTCCCACGAGCTCGAAATGGACTACCTCTCCGACGAACTGAAGTTTAGCCACGATCGCCTTTACGGAGCAGATCTCCTTGTCACCGAGGGCCTCCTCCAGGAGCTAATCAACTACGAGCTGATGCAGAGCGGACTGAACCTGTCGCACAGCCAGGACAAGTACTTCATCAAGAACTTGGTGGATGCGGCCAGTGTGATCCTTGACCGAAAATACGAGACGGAGTGGCGCAGAGCCACGGAATTGATTCAAAGAGGGCCTGAAGACTTGGTGGATGCCTTCAACAAGTACCTTGTGGTCCTGGCCCGTTCCCAGCACGACACCTACACCAGTCCCTTCGAAATTGTGCAGCCGAACATGGCCATGGGGCTGGACATTGTCACCACGGAATCCCTATTCGGTTACGAACCAGAGCAGCTGAGCGAATACCACCGGAGCAAGTACCTCAAGCCAAATGCCTTCACCACCGAGAGCGTGGTGCTGCCGGATACGAGCGGTTTCCTGCAGCACTCCGCTCGCCAGCGACCCGTCATCAGCTTTCCCAAGTACAACAACTACATCCTGGATCGTCGCAAGTTCGATCAGCACACGAAGGTGCTGGTGCCCCTGGAAATGCTGGGAATAACCCCGCCTGAAAGCGACGAGGTCTCACAGGGCGGCAGGAGAGGAAGCCACGACCATCGCGCCATTGTGGCGTACGCTCAGTACAAGGATGTGGGTCAGCTCTTGCCCGATCTCTACGATGAGACCATCACTCGTCGCTGGGGCGTCGATGTGGAACTGGCCACACCCATCCTCTCCCTGCAGATCCTAGTGCCTTCCATGGAGAGGGAACAGGAGACCCAACGCCTGGAGATTCCCTCGAGAAAGATCTCATCGACGTCATCGTCATCTTCTTCCACCGGCAGCACGGAACAGCAGTTCGTGGAGGTGTTCGATGTGCCCAAGGCTCCTACAAGCAGCAGCGAACAGCAGATCGAGGACATAAGGATTACTGCCCACGAAGTGCCACCACCAGTTTCCTCCGATGAACAACTGGAGGCTTCCAGCAGTGAGGGTGGTGAGGAAAGGGAACCGCATCTCCACCTTAACCTCGATGACATCGAGTTCCATGGCAACTCCGGCGAGGAGATTATATCTCCGGGGTCTCCGGAAGTTCTTAACCCGAACTACGAAGGCGCCAGCTCCACCGGCAGTGATGAGCAGCCCAAGGGCGAGAACGATGCGGTCTACAGAGATCGTCGCTTGGTCAAGCGGCAGGTGGAGATCACCTATCCCTCAGAGCAGATGCAGCAGTCGGAGCATGTGGTTTACCGCTCGCTTGGTTCTCCTCACCTGGCACAGCCCATTAAGCTGCAGATGTGGCTGGATGTGGACGCGGCTCGCTTCGGGCCACGCTCCAACCCGCAGTGTGTGCGCTGGAACTCCTTCACCAATCAATGGACTCGCCTGGGCTGCCAGACGGAGATTCCCGACTTTGACGGTGACTTTAATCCAGCGGCTCAGCCATCGATCCTGGTGAACTGCAGCTGCACCCACATCTCCAGCTATGCGGTGATCGTGGATGTAATAGATCCAGAGGACATACCGGAACCCTCTCTCCTTGTGCAGATCACCTCGTACTCTGCCTTCCTGGTTTCCCTGCCCCTTCTGCTGGGCGTCCTCCTGGCCCTGGCTCTGCTTCGTGGCCAGCAGACCAACTCGAACACCATCCACCAGAACATTGTGCTTTGCGTCTTCTGCGCCGAGCTGCTCTTCTTCGTGGGAATGCAGTCGCGTCGCCAGCTCCTAGAGAGCGAGTTCCCCTGCAAGCTGACGGCCATCTGCCTGCACTACTTCTGGCTGGCGGCCTTTGGCTGGACCACGGTGGACTGCGTTCATTTGTACCGGATGCTCACCGAAATGCGAGACATTAACCACGGACCGATGGGCTTCTACTTCGCCATGGGCTACGGTGCACCAGCCATAGTCGTCGGACTCTCTGTGGGAGTTCGGGCTCACGAGTACGGAAATAGTTTGTTGTGAGTATTCTTTCCAGGGGGCTGGGCAATCCGAAAGGATAACTATCGATATATTAACCTAAATGAATTCCTACTCTCTTTCAGCTGCTGGCTATCTGTGTACGAGCCCGTGGTCTGGTGGCTCGTGGGGCCCATCGCGGGCATGTCCGTGGTGAACCTTCTGATTCTGTTCGTATCCGTGAAGGCGGCCTTTACCCTCAAGGACCACGTCCTCGGTTTTGGCAACCTGCGCACTCTGCTCTGGCTGTCGGTGGTGTCCCTGCCCCTGATGGGCGTGATGTGGGTTCTAGCGGTCCTGGCCGCCTCGGAGCACTCGCAGCTACTAAGCTTGCTGCTCTCCGGCGTGGTTCTCCTCCATGCGCTCTTCTGCCTCATCGGATACTGCATCATCAACAAGCGGGTACGGGAGAATCTCCAGCGCACTTGTCTGCGCTGCATGGGCCGAAAAGTACCACTGTTGGACTCCTCGATGGTGGTCAGCAATAGCTCCCACAATGTGAACGGGACAGCCAGGCCTAACAATTTCCTGGCCGGAGGATACGACACGACTACACGTAGAAACATAGGCATTAGCGCCAGCAGCACCACCTCGAGGAGCACGGCAAAGACTAGCTCGAGTCCCTATAGCGATGGCCAGCTGCGACAAACCTCCACATCCACCTCAAACTACAATTCGGCCAGTGATGCGCCCAGCTTCCTGAGGGGCTTTGAGTCCTCCACAACCGGACGAAGTAGGGGAGGTGAAGAGAAACCGCGCCGCCAGCGGAAGGACTCGGACTCGGGCTCGGAAACGGATGGAAGATCCCTAGAGCTGGCCTCCAGTCACTCCAGCGACGACGACGAATCCCGCACGGCCCGATCCTCGGGCACGCATCGCAGCACGGCAGTGAGTTCAACGCCAGCCTACCTGCCCAACATCACGGAGCATGTGCAGGCCACCACACCGCCAGAGCTGAATGTAGTGCAGAGTCCGCAGCTCTTCCCCAGCGTCAGCAAGCCGGTGTACGCCCCTCGCTGGTCCAGTCAGCTGCCGGACGCGTATCTGCAGTCGCCGCCGAACATTGGACGCTGGTCCCAGGATACGGGCTCCGACAACGAACACGTGCATGGCCAGGCCAAGATGACCATCTCGCCAAACCCACTGCCCAATCCCGATCTCACGGACACCAGCTACCTCCAGCAGCACCACAACAAGATCAACATGCCGCCCTCTATCCTGGAGAACATAAGGGATGCACGAGACGGCTACGAGGACAGCCTGTACGGGCGGAGGGGCGAATATCCGGACAAGTACGGCTCCTACAAGCCGCCCAGTCACTACGGCAGCGAGAAGGACTATCCAGGCGGCGGCAGTGGCTCCCAGACCATCGGCCACATGCGCAGCTTCCATCCGGACGCGGCCTACTTGAGCGACAACATCTACGACAAGCAGCGCACGCTGGGTAGCGGCTACTTGGGCGCCAAGTCGGAGTCTCCCTATCTCTCCAAGGACCGCATCACCCCTGATATTTACGGCTCCAGGGACGGCCACTACAGCCTGAAGCGGCAGCCCGCCTACGCCACGGACTCGCTGCACTCGGTGCACTCGCTGCTGAAGAATGACTACCACCAGCAACAGCAACAGCAGCTCCAGCAGCAGCAACACCACCTGCAGGACAGACTATCCGAGGGCTCGGATAAGAATGGCTACCACTTCCCGTACACCGCGGAGGAGGACCACTTGCCGGCCAGGAAGCTAAGCCACACGCAACCGCCATCGCTCCACGGATCGCAGCTGATGCAGCCGCCGCCGCCGGGTCTGGGCCTGGTCAACGATGTCAACAATCCGGGCCTGATGGCACGGCACACTCTGAACGGCGGGGGATCTCGGCACAGCTCCAGAGCCTCATCCCCGCCCTCCAGCATGGTGGCGCCCATGCAGCCACTGGGGCCGTTGGCCAGCATCACGGACACCGAGTGAGTTTTTGAAGCACACAAGAAGTACCCCCGCCTTCTGGCAGGTCCGAGAAATCTGTGAGAGAAGCCATAGACCTCAGAGTGAATAAAGTTGACACAATGTCAGAAGCTGGTGATAAGAGTGGACTTGACACACAGATTTCTCAGACTTTCCAGCACTAGGTGGTGGGTCTGTGAGTCGGTTTCGGTTTCGGTTTTGCTTTCAGTTTCGTTGTGGTTCTGGTGGCCAGAGTTAATGCTTCTTGTACTCGGTGTACATCCCGTCTCTTGATTTGATTTTGCGTTGGCCTATAGAGATTAGTTTTGGTTGGAGGACTCCTCCCGGTCCTCCCAGTCCTGTGCGTTCTCCATTTTTGATTCCAGCAATTAATCTGAGGTCCTTTGTTTTCGATTCTCCGTTTTCTCAATTTCTTAACAATGACATGAACCCCCTGAACCGAACCCACAACAATGAAACCTGAAAACAATGAATGTGGTACAAACGCTCTCATCCACACTGCACGCTTACATGCTCACACTCACTCATGCGCCAATCCATATCCTTTCAGCTGGTCCTGGGAACGTTTGAAGCAAATCTAATTTGACTATCTTTCACTATCTTTCTCTCCCATCTCGTGCTCTCTCTCTCTTTCTCTCTCTCTATCATTGACAAAATAAAACTAAACACGACACACACTCTTAACCACAAAAAAACTACCAAACGGCAAAATGAAATTCGACGTAATGCAAAACGCTATGGCTGCCCCGTGTTCTCCATGTTCCATCCAAACCCAAAAATCCAACCAAATCAAACAACCACCACACCACATGTACTACAACTACAACAACAACTACAGCTCCGAGGTAAACCACAAGGAAAATGCATTTTCAAGTCGCACATCACATTCCCATTTTCCACTCTCCATCAACGTCTTCGTTTGCGTTTTTCCTCCCTTTTGATTTTTATTTTCGATTTCCGTAGCCGGAGTGAGCGAAAAGTGCATCGCTTCGATTCGATTCGATCTCTTTAACTAATTTCGAAGTGCACCAGTTTTTAATTTGATTTGACCATTTGAAATTGAATGTAAATATTGAATCTTGATTTCTGTAAGCCTCCCCGAGCCCGAATGTTTGTTTTGTTTATTATTAGTTTGATTAATCGAATCAGTTGAATCTCTCTCTCGTTTCTAATTTGTAATCCGAATGTTCGAATTGCTGCATTTAATTGGAACGTGTAAAATATTGAATTCTGCATTTATCACACGCATTTATTAATTCTCTCATCTAACAAGGCATTCAGTTTGTGTATCAATCATGCGCCCCTCATCCCACCCACCACAAACCCACTAACACACAGCATCCACAACAGCAGCAGAGTCAGAAACAGATAAGAAACCTTAAATACAAACCTGAACATCTCCACAGTTCGACATTATTTGGCTGCACCGCCGGCAGCAGAGGCAGCAGTACCCCTGGTCGCTAACAATATGGTATATGGCATAGAATCGGAGCAATATCCTCCGCTTAGCTAGTCCTAGTCCACTCCCCCAGTCAGTCCTAGTTACAGAGTGACTGAGTGAATTAGCAAATGATTTTCGTACACTAAATTAATGTCAAATGTTGCGTTTAAGCAGAGTCCCCCTTTAGTAAATTAATTACCGATGTGAGTGGCGCCCGATAATGATTATGATTTACCGAAAAAAAGAATCACCCTGAATCCATTAGCAGCATATACATATATTAACCACACCAAACACACACAACATACCTCAAAAACTTCACACACACACACACACGTCCCCCCATAGATTTATGTATTTATTTTTTCACTTTGATAATTCAGTTGCATAAATTATGCTTTCGCTTCAACCAAATTTAACATTAAACACGTTCGAATATGCACGAACGTTGCATGCAATTTATGAGACTGCCGCAAATTCCAACTTATCGCACAGGTGCACGCCGTAATGAAGCACGTAAATTAGAGTATAGAGAGTAGCATAGTTTAGTCATTTGCAATATATGAAAGACCTGCCAAATGCAGCTTCCGACTAATTCTCTACAATTCCCAAACAGGCGGAATATTGATGATGACGAGACCACAGTGTGACGACAGTCCCAGTCCCAGTCGCCGTCGCCGTCGCAGTCGAAGCTGCAGCAGCAACATCAGCAGCACCTGCAGCAGCTGCAACAATTGCAGCAGCAACGCACCAAACAGCCAGCGCCATACTTCGCCACCATTAGACGCAAGCCGCATTACAGGAGCCACACGGAGGCCTGAGCTCCGCCTCGGGCCGGATTCCATAGCACACTTACGGGCGCCAAGCTGCCATAAGTCCCTCATTAAAACTTTGTACATAGAAGCACACCCAACACACAACACCCGCACACTCGCTGGCCACTTAATTTTACGTAAATAGCGCTTAGTACATACGATAGCTGCAGCAAATACGAATATGAGCATAAATATTTATAACACTTTTTTAGGCATTTACTCGTAATTAGTTTAAAGCAACACAAAAGGGCCGCCAGTTGTATTTCGTTTCGGGAATCACGAAATACGCTTTACTCGCCCGGGATTGTGCATGTATTATAAATTGTAATGTGTAATTATGTATTAAAACAAGTCAGACTGATTTTATGCATTTGCGTTTCTGCTATTACAATTAAGCCCCTCACCCCTCACTCCTTACCACCATTCATGCATGCAGCGAGTTTGTGCATTTAGGCCCAGTCACATGTGTCCAGAGTGGACAAAATGGCCGTCGCAGGGCCACGTTAGTTAGAGCAAACTGCAAGTAAACAAAGTAAACACGTTGTGTGCCTCGAGCTTCGAGCTTATTATGCCAAATTAGTGGAGGTCGAGAAAGGGAACTTGTAAATGGAAAGTAATCGGCGAAAGTTGGCCAGCAGCAGCCTCCCCATCCGCATTCGCACATCCGTTGCCATTTAGTTCGGGAGTTAGTTTTAATTGATAGCATTTACTAGCCCTAGACCGAGTCCGAACTGGGAAGGAGCGTTGCGACGACTGTACCATGACATCAAGTTCAAAATCATACTCAATACACATAGAAAAAGTAATATAAATTCAGGACACCCAGGAGCGTGTTTACAGGGGGCCCACACAAGCGCAGCATAAGCATATCTATATATATTCGCATACGTACTATATCTGTCTATAATATCGGAGCCAGCTGGAAAGCTTGCTCAACAGTTTGATCCCCGACTCAGCAATAGCCACTCTCAAGCCCTGTGAACCGTGTACAATTTATAAATAATTCATAAGCCCAACTAACTGTAACTTTAACTCGAGTGTATGTCCCGCGTACGGCTTGCTCTGCAGCACACACATTATATGATATTTATGTGAATTGACTTATTTAATTGTAAATTATACAAGTACATATATCAATCTGAATAAAGCGTGTAAAATACATACCAGATATGGAGAATAAACTGGAGCAATTTTCTTTTTGTCAAAAAGGGGGGTCCATAACTAGAGGCCTGTGCAAGCTCTCAAGCTGCAAAAATAAATGGCAGCCATCTATAACTCAGGCATCAGAGGGCATTTATGGCCCCATAAATTTCAATGGACTTTTAACTTTAAGGCGATAAAGAGCACAAATTAAGTGCCTTCACAGCTAACCATTAAAATGTGTGTAGGAATTTGCAATGTTGCAGAAAAATAAGTAAATGTGGAGAGGACTTTGATTACAAAGTTTGCAGAGAGCTGGTATGTATTTATAACTATACTATTTGTATTTTATGATTACTTTTAATATTATTAAGTTATTTATTTTTGCATATGTATTTTAAATAATTGAAAGACATTATTTGCAAAAATAAAGGAGAAGCTAAAGGAACCTGTTTGCTACCTACAAATGGACTTTATAGTATTTCAAAACAGTTGAAGACGTCAATGAAATTTCTGCCTTTTTGAATAAATGTATTCCGACCACATTGCGTATACGCAATAAACATAGCAAACATTCTTTAGGGATAAAATTCTAGTTTTTTGCCCAATTAAAGTCCGAACGCCACTTATGAAGAAGATATCCAATGCCTGAGGAGTACTTTTTCATAGTTTTATATGCTTCTTTTTAAAAATACATACCAGCAACACTGCGTATACGTAATAAACATCAAAACCATTATTTAGATATTTAGTTCGAATTCGTTGCCCAATCGAAATGGATAAACTGGACAATGGATGAACCCCCGTAAAAATACACAGAAGTCGGTTCTTTGTTTTACCATACACCTTTGTTTTTGCATATATTTTATTATGGGAATACAATAATTTCAATACCATTATGTGTATATTATGTATATATGTGTGTATCTGTATATCTATGTTAGTATCCTCATAAGTACGGGTATGCAGATGTGTGTTGTAAGTGTTTAAAAACCATCATTGAATAATATATTGAATTATTTTAGCTTGACACTCTTGTATACATTTCCTAGCCGGGGTTATTTGCCTGCTGCAATTCAAATGGAATACAAATAATGCCATTGTTTTGTTATTCGTTTTCGTTATCGTTTTGTTTCGGAACTGGAATCGGAATTGGAATGCCTTTCGTAGGGTTTACAAATATTTGGTTTAGCTGAGAGTACACAATGCAATAATCAATATATGCTAAGTATTTGTTTAAATGACAACAATGTAGCGCAAAAATGCCTGTTTGCGTTATGCCTATGCACGAATTCATCAACAATTGTTTCTCGTTTTATTTGATTTGATTTTACTCCGTTTTGCTTTTGGTTTTTGGTTTGGTTTAGTCGTATGTTTAGTTTAACTCGGTTGGATTATTTAATTATTGGGGCTTGACTAAAAGCGAATCCACGTACGAATACAAAGACAAATACTTGAAGAGGTGGCTATGCACGTTGTATGATTAATTATTTTACAAAACAGTTCGAATGCCAAAACAGACCAATCAGCGGAAGATCGTTCGCTCGTTTAAGGCATTTTCGTATAGGATTTTCCCTACTATCTCTTACTTTTCCAAAGCCATCTATCCCTTCTGCTCCATCTGCACGTCCCAGTTCTATTTCCCTTCCCCTCTTAGCAACTCGTCGTTGTGCATTTTGTGTGGTGGACTTCCTCTGGGCCTGACTTCGGGGTCTCGATTTCGTTTTGTGTTCGTTTTTGGGTATTTATAATACAGCGATATGCCTTTAATTTAATCGTAATTCAAGTGAAACTCTGCTTGTACACATATTTAACATTAACGAGCATTGGCAAATACACATATAGTTTATATATATATATATATATTCAGTTTTTGTTCAGATTTCAGCATGGTCAGCCTGTGCTCAGCGGCCCTCAAAAGTAAGTCCTCATTCCGCCTAATCTCTGCTCAAATTTAGTCACGGCAGCGGTTGTAGTTCGTAGTTCGTGGTGTCATTAAAGCGTTAACAAAGGAAAGCCTTGTATAGCAGACAGGTAGAAAAGTGGGTGGTGTGCATATAAAAGGGGGTTCTGGTGTCGGGTTTCGGGGTCGGAAGGGGCTGGCAAATTAAATGCACCGATCTCTCAGCTGGCTCGGTGGGTTCAAGTGACGCGCAATCCGGATTCAGTTCGCAACAGTCTCGAGGGGGTGGGAAATGGAGGTGAGGGACACGGAAATGAAGCGGTGGAAATCCAATCTCGGTTGCCTGACCTCGAGGGGAGGGGATGCTAACTCTCCCTGATCCCTAGCCTGATCCTGATCTCCTGCGGGGTTATTGTCACGGAACACGGACTCAACGGAAGGGAACAGAAAACTGCAACTACCTCTGTCGTATGGCATGCGGGTCTGGGTAGCAGTAGTAGTACTCTATGTATATTTGATGTATATATTTCATTTATCATTTGCAACACATTACAATTTTCCATTTCACTACATAAATACATACGTACATAATAATAATAATCATAATATTTAATAATAACGGCTTACCACTTAGCCTTCTGTTTGTGTGTTTGCTCCAAGCCAGGGACTTTGGGTCTAGGTTTAACCATATCTGTATCGCGGTGTGTGTCGGGTCTTGTGTTGTGTGTGGTGTGTGCTGTGTGCCATGTGCTCGTGTGTGTAGCCATACATATACATGGGTGGTGTGAGTGTGGGGCGTACAGATACAGATAGTGTAGCTATAGTTAGTTTGTCTGTTTCGATTTCGATTTCACCGATTCCGCTAGCTTTGTGCGTTTCGTCAAGCATCGCAAACTGTACAGTTCAGCCAGCGTATATACATGGGTGTGGAGGAGATACTCATACTGCCTGGCTCCGACCTGGCCTCGAGTGGTGGCCAGGGGTCAGCAGCCAAGCGGCACTCGGGGTGCACGCTTAATTAGTGCCGAACTTCGGACTTTGGTTAAATTCTTTGCTCTTGTTCAACTTCTTTGCGATCGGTTCCACTCGCACACTCAACTCAAATCGTTCCACGCTGCGGCAGCCGATTAAATTACAAGTTTACAAATTACCAATTCACCGATTTACCGATTTACCAATTCACCGATTTACCAATTACCAATTACAAATTACAATTCAAACATCGGATTAAATAACATTTTGACATTTACACTGAGACGACCGAACGCAAAGGATATACATACACATATCGATACAAACATAGTGCCCTTCCCCGAGGGGGGGAAGCACGTATATATATATCATCATTATCTTTATCTCCGCCTTTTCGTCGTCGGCTTACTGAAGGATTAGCGGCGAGTACCTCGTTTCAATGCTGACTAATTAGCTAGTTTCCAATTCTGTTGTCTGTGGTTTGTTGCTGTTGTTGTGGTGCTTCTCCTCCTCCCACGCAGGATCCTCCTGCCCTTCCATCATCCCGAGCTCTAACAGTTGCAGTTGGCATTGGGCGTGCCCTGCGGCTGATCCGTCAGCCGCTGTCCCTTCTGGCCGCCGCCCACTAACGTCGGATCCGCGTCCAGGCTCTCTGACATCTTGTCGCATATGATGTCCACCAGACGCTCGAACACAGCCTGCAAAGTGGGTGTCCAGTGATCTTGGGTATCTCCATATAGAGACTCTTACTCACCTTGACATTCACATTCTCCTTGGCGGACGTCTCGAAGAACTCAACGCCCAATTGGTCGGCCAACTGGCGGCCGCGCTCGAAGCTAATCACACGCTGGTCCTCCATGTCGCACTTGTTGCCCACCAGGATCACCTGGGCATTGTCCCACGAGTACGTCTTGATTTGTGTAACCCTAAGGTATAGGTAATGTAAGAAATGTTAAAAGAACATTACGTGCCGCTAGGGACACTCACCAGTCCTGCACTGAGTTGAAGCTGTCCTCGTTGGTGACATCGTACATCAGGATGAAACCCATGGCGCCGCGGTAGTAGGCTGTGGTGATAGTGCGATATCGCTCCTGTCCAGCCGTGTCCTGGTAAAAGAAATGCAATTTTCAGAATTTAAATTAGAAATAGTACATCTAGAAAATATTCCTACATATTAAAAGGATGGGTGAATGAAATGAAATAAAACTATAAGAAATAAAACCAGTTTTCTATTAAAAGTCAAGACTGTTAATTAAAAGAACAAATGAATTTAAGCCAACCTAAACCTTCGAACCTTTCAATTAATATTGCTGAGAACATTAAAGCATTGTCATTGCCTTAATTTATAACTGAAAACAAGATTGGCATCCGGAACGCCCCCACATTAGACGAGGACTCTCGAGAGTGCGCTCACCTGCGCGCACCTTCGGCCACGGCGATGCCCAATCAATAAATCAATGTCTCGGGTTTCTGGTTTAATGCTCTCTGTCTCTTCTCTCCTCCGGATGATTCATTCGCCCCCGCCGCCACAAAACTAATCGAGGTCAAGCCAGAGCTCTGCACATGGCAGAGTGCCCGTAAAAGTAGGCAAACACTTTGCTCGACTCAAATATATATCCACGCTTGTGTACTCACCCAGATCTGGAGCTTAACGCGCTTGTCGTGCCGAAAGACGGTCTTCACCTTGAAGTCGATGCCCACCGTGGAAACGAAGGCGGATGTGAAGCTATCGTCGGCGTAGCGGAAGAGAAAGCTGGTCTTGCCCACGCTGGAGTTGCCGATGATGAGCAGCTTGAACATGTAGTCGAAGTTCTGATCGGCGGCATCCTTCTGCCACTTGGGGTCTCCGCCGCTGGCCATTGTGTAGGTCTAGAGCGGTTTGCTTCTGCAAAGAAATGAGATTTAAGATTCAGATGAGGCGGGAAAACTTAAAAAAAAAACCGATATCAGATCGAACAAGGAGCCATGGAATTCTATGTCAACTGGCTTATTGCTTCGCAGACCTCAATGGAGTCTCAGTCGTCCATAAACACATTCGAATACCCAGTGATAGACCGTTCAAATTTAGTCTAAAAAATAACTCCGAAAATCGAAAGAAAGCGTAAAATATAGTTCTTGAGTTCTGTTTTTGGTACTTTTTCTACGTTTTGGATACTTTTTTACACAGCTATCGTTTCACTTAAGGCTGACTGGATCTCTGGCTAAGTCAAATATGTTCGACACCACGTTGGGGACCGTTCTGGGCCTATTGGCCCAGTTTCTCTACCTGGTAATAGGCCAGGTGCTGGCACAAGTGGTTCAGCATCCGCTGCTTACCACAGCTCTGTGCCTGCTGGTGGGCCTTGCATACCAGGCAGATCAGGATTCGCTCAAGGAGGCATACCAACGGGCGCGTTTGTGGGTACGGAATCCCCTACGATTTGGGGGTAATTATTGTTCCAGCTCGAAATGTCCCAGCTCGGGATATGGTTATGACATGGCGCATGGCCCACACACCTGGCAGGGACAGCCCGAGCCATCTATCGGATGTGGAGTGGAGAAAATCCACTATCAGAGTCCGATAAACATTGACGAGAGTCAGATCCAGCGACTGGCCATAAGGGAGCTGCTCAACTGGAACCACTATGACGATATACCAGCCAGCATCCAGCTGGAGAATACGGGCCAAACCCTGGTGCTCCGTGCCCAGTTCCGCGGTAATGCCCCAACCATCAGCGGAGCAGACCTGCTGGCCTGCTACACCTTCGTGGAAGTGCGCTTCCACTGGGGCTGGTGCAACAGCGAAGGATCCGAGCACACGATCAACCACCGCAAGTTCCCGCTGGAGATGCAGGTGATGCACCGCGCCGGGTCGGGCGTTCCGCGCCCCTGCACCAGCAGCTACGACCTCCTTATGCTCGGCTATGTCTTTGAGCTGTCCGCCCACAATCCATTCCTAGATCCGCTCGTGCAGAATCTGCGCCTGGTCCAGAAGCCAGGGAAGCGTGTGGAAATCCCGCCCTTTCCGCTCTCCTACTTAATCTACGCCTTCCGCACCGGCTTCTACTCCTACGGAGGGTCGCTGACCCATCCTCCATGCTACCAAGGCACCGAGTGGTTCATCTTCCCCGAGTCGCTGGCCATTAGCGACTTTCAGCTGCGCCACTTCCGCTTGCTCCTGGGTCCGGACGGGGTCTCGCCAATAACTCGCAACTGCCGTCCAGTCCAGCAGGTGGGCAATCGAGTGGTGAGCCTGAACTGCTTCTGTCCCTACGACGCCACCCAGCTAGCCCGTATGCAAGTGGAGCTCTGCCAGCAGCAGGCCCAGGAGGAGCGGGAAGAGCGCCTGGAGCGGGAGCAGCTGCAGGAGATGGAACGGCTTCAGGCGATCGAGCGCCAAAGGAAGCTGGAGCTTGAAGTGGAGCGGGAACACGAGGCTGCTGCTACCACCGCCATCGCATCCGAAGACGAGGGACAGCTACTGGAGACCATTGAAACAACCACCATAATTACCAGCAGCAGCAACACAAGCATATGCATGACCACACTGATGCGCCAGGACTCCCCCCCGGAGCAGGGGTCGCATCCAGACATCACTACCCAAACCACTTGCCAGAGTTCTCTTCGCAACGCCGACATCGTCATCTTCAGCGGCAGCAACGCCGGAAAGTGCGGCCTCCAGCTGAACCCTCCCGAGGAGTCCATGATCCTGGACAACAGGGCATTCAGCGTCGGCCAGAATGGCTGCAAGGGCGAAGCCATTGGCGGCGTTGGCGATGGCGTGAACATTGGGGTCCGTCTGGAGATGGTTGAATAGGCTAGCTACGACGAAGCTCACTCCAATCGTTATCCTAACTGCATGCGAAACTGGAAACCTAGATCAGTAGTCAAGGCCTGACTGGGGGCCCATCTGCTGCTCGCTCTATGTGAGCCGGGAACTAATTGTATCGCATGCGTGTGGATTAAACAAGTTTGCGTTTATATTTTCTGAAGCATAACCAACAACAGCCTTGACTTCTGACTTGTCACTCGAGGAATGGGCGCGCTCCTCTCCCTCCCCGCTGAGGGCAGGACCCACTTGATTATCCCAGTTCGACTTGGCATGGCTGTCACGTCAGTGGGACAACTCAAAGGGAAACTGCTGTAAGTGGCGGGGTGCAGGGGCGGGGTGGTGCCTTGACGGCCTTGAAAACTTTCAGCCTTGGCTTGACTAAGTGACAACAGTCTCGGCTTACAGTTACAGCCCCATTCGGGATGGTCGGTCCTCGCTTGTGGTGGGTTGCCTGCCTGCCTGATTTCCATATGCAAGACCAACAAGCTGCGACATTGTGTCGATAATTTGTGTATATAGGCAACTCCAGCATCCGTTTCCGCTCGCCCCGAGTCGCCGCCCCGTCCCCCGCCTCGAATCAAAAGTTGCGCAGCGGCAAAATGCTGTCGGATTGCTGATGAACGACTTCTAGAGCGCGCGCGTCATCGTCAAGGATATTTCTGGCAAAAGGACAGCCACAGCCACAGCCACAGCCTCTGCCTCAGGTCCTGTTCCTACTCCTGCTCCAGCTTCTGCCAAATCCTCTTCAGGCACTGGCATCCCAACCAGGAGAGAGGGTCCCGGCAGGAGGACAAAGTCAGACGGGCTCGAGTCAATAGGCACACGGCTGTTATCAGAGGCGGTGTGTGTGTCTGTGTGGAAATGTTTTTATCTGCTCGGCTGCGTGTAATTATCGATTTTTTTCTGTTGTTTTCCCTCCTCGTGGGGGTGGCTGCTGCTGCTCATCCCCATCCTCTATCCCCACTCCCTCACCCCTTGACTGCTCTTTCATGTTTCAAATTTCCAATGATTAAGCAGCTGTTGAGCGGACGGCAGCTGCGGGCTAGTTTAATTATTGATAAGAAACCCAATATGGACTAAAAGCCGAGCTCAATTCGCAGGCTAATGGCTTCCGTTGGCAAGTTCGCCAGTTTCGAATGGGGAAATCCCCCAAGTTGGGTCTGGGCTCTCGCAATTGTTAACTTTTGATTGCGGTTACAGGGGCCGAGGTCGGTTGTTACAGCGAAGTAACTAAATAATTACGGTCAGGTTTCTATTGAAGGCACAAATCAAAGTTTTTTGGATACGAATCAATGTAAATAAAACCAACTAGCGTTTCAGGCTTATTTCGACAACTAGTTAAAATATATATTTATATCGATTACCCGCATATGACATGTCCAACTTCCACTGCTATTTAAATGGCGCACCAAAAAAAAACAAAACGAGACACCATAAAAATAGATAACTCTTGCCTTTAAAGCTATTTCCAAACGAGTGGGGTTTAATTAACCAATCATAGATATAAGTTGAAATATAAAGACCCTATTATCCCCGAAGGTACCAGGAATTGTCCTAGGAAAGAGACTAGTAATGACAAGCCACAGTCCACTGCTTTTGGTCACTCATGGCGTATGCGTATTATGTGAAATGCACTTACGCTGTCTTGAGGTTGCTGCGGTTGCTGCTGCTGTTGTTGCTGGCGATGCTGGTCCTGCAGAAGATCCTGCTGCTGCTGTTGTTGACGTGCTGTGCCTGCCCCTCCGTGTGTTGTTGCTCACACGCTCAGCCAGCCACACATACACACAAATCGATAATGGTAGCAACGGCAGGTCCTGTTCGCTCGGGGGGAAGAAGGGACGCAGCTCAGCCTTGGCACTGGACTAACATACGCCGCGGTGCTCCGACTCGACTCGACTTTGCTCCCTTTGTTTACGATTACCCAATCAATTATTTACACGCTCGCGTCCCACACACGTCTGGCCAGGTGGTTGCAGTGGCTCAATTATTCAGCGGATGCGGATGCGAATGCGTATGCAATGCTACGCCAGTTTCACCAGTTTTTCTCGCTGCTTGCTCTGCTCGCAATTCAGTTCGTTCGCTTCGACACGTCGACTCCAAAGGACACACACAAATTTTCCTTCCTTCGCTCTCAGACGGCGAATTGACTGCTGCGGCGAATACGGGCAGGTCTTGTATACGTTCTCATAATTTAACTGTTTCAACCTGACTGACTGACTAGCTGACTGCCTGCTGCCCACACAGTTTCCCTGCTGCTGCTTTTCCTGCTGCTGAAAATCGATGGTTCTCCGTGCCTGGGGTAGCCCGTCCGGAATCGAGTGTGGGCGTAGCTTTCGCGGCGAATTTTAGCGAGCTTTCCATTCATGCGCCGGACATGCGCATTCAAGTCGCTGACGTTCGTTTCTTAACACTGGCCGAGCGCCTAGCTTAAAAAGAGGCTTAGGTTACTTTTTAATAGAAGCTTGCTTAAGTTATAAGTAATTACTAAACCGAGATTGTTAATCAATCAATAAATGTTCTCAAGGGACTTCAGAATGTTTATGAAATATAATCTTCATGTAATGTGTGAGTTCAATAAAATTGAGCTTCATTTAAAGTTCTACTATTAATTATCTTTAGAGATCTTTTATCTTAATAGTCAGGCCATTCACCATAAACTTCAATAAACCACCAAATCACTAACAAACTTATTGCACAGTGCATATAAACCAAAGTCAATTAGGGTTCAAAGATTCAGAGTATAACAAATTTAATGACCAACAGGTAACCATAACAATTTTACCGCCTACAGTTTGCTATTTCCAGCCAGTAGATCGCGCACCAATCCCACGGCGTACCTGGCCGTTCCTGGAGCAGTGGTCACTCCATAGCCCCCATGGCCGTAGTTGTGGACGATCTTTAGCCGCCTGCCCTCAGAGTTCGTGATCAGCTCCGGCTCTACACGCACCACCGAGCGGTGCGGACGCAGACCCACACACTCCCGGACAATTTCAGCCTTGCGGAGGCTGGGCAGCAGGTCGTAGCAGCGCTCCCGGATGGCCATGCTGTCATACTTGCACCAATCGGTGTTATAGCTATCGAACTGTCGGCAGCCGCCCAGGGTAACAGTTTCGAATCCGGGCAGCACATACGTATCGTAGTCCCCATAGAAGGCTGTCTTCACCCAGGGCGCCCGCACCTTGAGCACCTGCCCACGGATGGGCACCAGGTGCTGGTCAGCGCACAGCTCCTTGGCGCCCATTCCGGTACAGTTCAGCAGCACATCGTAGTTCTGCGGAACCTCGAAGAAGTTTCTTACATGCAGACGCACCACCTCGCCTCCGTTCTCCAGGAATCTGAAAAGGATTTAGTCATAGGATAGTTTGGAACAAGCAGAACCACTCACTTTTTGGTGGCGTAGGGCAGGAAGAGACGACTCTCCGTCAGGCAGGTGGTGAAGAATGAGCCGTACTTCCAGCCCCCATGACACAGCTTCAGTTCCTCTTCCGTGGCGCGTCGATAAACAGGCAGAAGTTTCTCAATAAAGTGGTTCTGCGGGTGAAGGGACGGAAAATTAATCGAATTAAGCTCGCCGAGATAAGAATCGCTGATAGACGACTGCCCGGCAACATCTGTACATACCCGTACGATGGAGGGCGAGGTGCGGGAGTATATGTAGCCAGAGAGCTGACACACACCGGCCAAAGGAGCCTCCTTGGAGCGACGCAGCTCGTCCCAGTAGTTGAAGGCGTCCGTCATCCATTGCCTGTTATACGCGGTAAACTCTTGATTTATCTGCTGGTATGCAGTGATCCTGGTAGACTCTTACTGCGTAATTTCCTGGGTGGGGCCCATGAAGCTGGTGCCCGGCCGGAAGATTCCTGCTGCCACATAGCTAACGGTATCCTCGTTGAAACGATCCGCAATCACCGAGACTCGTGCCGTCGGAAACTCTTTCTGGAGCTCCAGAGCGGTCGTGAGACCAATAATGCCGCTGCCCAAGACTCCGAAATGCATTCTGCTGGATCCGCTGATAACTGTTTACCCAGTCCAAGGGGAAGTCAGTCCGGTACTGAGAGCGACGGACCTGCACAGAGTGCTTTTAAGGTACCCGTGTAGATAGTGGCTGCAGCTTATCAGCGCCTCAAATCCGCTCGGCGTCCACATTGATAAGGTTTATCGCCGGTGCAATAAACGCTCTTTTCCATTGTTATTATTTCTAAACGCGTAAACATTATTTAAAAAATTAGTTTCTCATTAAAAACGCAGTGTTAATATAAACCAATACGGTGGGGTAACCGTTTTATTGCATTTAAATAAACTTTTAATAATGTAAAAACCTAATTAAAAATGTAATTAAAAAAAGATATCCAAAATTGTTTTTGTTCCTTAATTTGATGTCAAAAGTTAAAAGTCACTTCTAACCAATATCTACTGTAAGTTGTCATTGGCTCGTTTGTCAGCTGTTTACTTATCGCCCATTCCTATTTTTTAGCGAAATGTACTTTTAGAAATACTTGTCAAATGAATACCAATCGGACTTTAATTAATTTGTATTGATATTTGATAAATTTGTAAAATTATTGTGCCCACTGAGAATACTAACCTCCAATCAGCTGTTCCGCGCAGTGCGGTATTTTCGAGCGCAGCTGGTACTTGTCAGTGGACGTTTTCCAGCACTGCCCCCGACGGTCACACTGTCCGCTCGACGAATTTATTTTTCTAAAAACAATTGCAAATCGCTAATTCCGGAATTTGGCGAGAAGCTACGATTTTGTGCCCGCAGAAGAAGCGAAGGAGCGAGAGCGACCCAGTGGAGCAGCCCAGCGGATTGGAGCAGGAAGCGCAAGCGGTGCCACAACGGAACGCCAGGGGAAAACCATGTCGACGATGTCGCCCAGCGAAGTAAGTTCCTGCTGTCTTTGGTCTACTGAGGGTGTAATGGAAAGGGTGGAGGGGTGAAACACCAGCCCCTTACGACCAGCTGTGCCAATGTTTGCGATCTGCGATCTTGGAGGGTTTCCCTTCCGCACTCGCAGCGCACCCAGGTTCAACGCCATGTTATCGCTGCAACGTCGCGAATCGGACTTCGAAAAGTGACGCAGCTCTCCGATAAGTCAGATTCGCAGCTTCCTTGAGCTCTCGATTGGCAAATGGTTATGTAATTGCCGGGGCTCAAAAAGAGGTTGTCTTTGTCTGGGGACGGCGGCTCGAGGTCGTCTGACCCCCAGCCGCTAATTACGGACCCGGCAATCGACCCGGACCCGCTTGGGCATGCTCTTTGTGCCACCCACTGCAACGCACACTGCATGACACCCGCCTCCCTCGGGGCGAATGTTTACACGGCATCTATTGCACTCTCCCCAGCGCGCCAGCTTGTTTAAGCCACGTAAACAATGCACTTGCATTACCCTCGATCCTGGCGGCCAGCAACTTTATTCGTTGCTTCCAACCTGTGATGCGGCATATTTAGGTACCGCAAAGATGTAAATTTGAACATCTTTTAAAGTTTCTGGGCTTAAAATATACATAGGTAATGAAAGGTATTACTGGGAAGTTCAAGTAAACGTTCGTGATTTACAAGTTGGTTTTGTATCTGTATCTGTACATCGATTAATTAATTATATATTTTTGGGTAGTAACTAGGGCTTACCGGCTTGCCGTGCTTTGCATCTTGTACCTCTTGTACGATTAGTCTTCGTCAGGAGAGTTTATTGTACCTTATCCCAGGACCTAACAAATTGTACCATGCCCATCACTGCTACCAAGCTATATCTCGTATATATGATCGCTCGCGCGCCCGTCCGCCGAAAATAGAAGCTCATCGCCAGTGACGGCGCTCGCAGTCAGTGCTCGATGCCACGCGAATTCGCACGCGCCGCTCCGCCGCCAGAGATACATATTCCGCGACGTGAAATCCGCAGATAAACGTACAATCGTACAGATCCGAATTGTGCAGGTTGAGGCATTAGCATACAACAAATCGCCGCAAATGGCCAAGCGCATTTTCCCAGGGATCCTCATGGCAGTCGCCATTCGCGAATTTATTTGGCACGCGCTCAACTTACTAATTGGTTGGCGCTCCCAGCCGCCAGTTACGCATTAGGACTCTATAAATAAAGACAGCATGGAATAGCCAGTTCAGAGAACCAGTTTGAAATGTTTTAGAGCATATCTACCGCCGAGAGATATAATTTTGAATTAAATCTGACATTTCAGAGGAGCTGTGACTGGAGGAATCGATTATATATGTATTTCACAGAAACACTACCATAGCAAGGAAACTGTCCAAGATGTAGGTTGTAATTCTGTCTCCAGTTATAGACGCTTGACTGTTTCAGACTGCTGAGAAGTTTCAGCCACAGAAGCCTTAGCAAAATTGATCTGGCATCATGAAATATGCATGCGCATATTCTGCGATCCAATCACAAAGAGTATCGGCGATAACAAAGCATCGCCATAAGGAAATGATTTGCCTTTTATGCACGCCCACCAGACAATAACCGATTAATGGGGATGTTTAAAAGGCGTTCACAAAAAGCATACCACATGGCAGCAGGGCAGCAATTCATCTCTCTGAAGGAACCTCCCTTTTTCGAAATCATTCTACTCAAATGGGAGGGTTACGAAGTCGCTGACCTGCGAAACGTGATCGCCGATCCATAGATTTAATCGGATGGCAATTTACCTGCGCAATTCCATCGGCGTTGAGAGGTGTACTTGCCACTTGTCTGGTTTTCCAATCACCGCAGCAAAACACCTTTGCGTTGCGAATCCGCTTGCCTAATTCGTGATACATCTCACTTAAGTTTAATTTAATTACTGAATTTATCGCTTACTGCTGTAAGTGCACGCGCCTTTCACGTGTCTGCGGTAAAAACACGTCCTCATTTTGATGGCCTACGCTTGCAACTTGTTTATATGTGGTTCTGTATCAGCGACAATCGCCAGGAGGAGATGCTCGCCGCTCTAGAAGCGGACTGGAACTTGTTGCTCATCCGCCGCGAACGTGACACATGTCGATTGTTGCCGTCGCTCTCCTCTGGCCAGATGATAAGCCCGAAACTGGCGCATCAGGTTTTGCGTTTATTTATACCACCACAGAGCACGATCCCTGACGTCACAGCGCGGCGACAGTAGTGACGTAGGAGATGATTTATCGACTGCCGGCGAAGGGCAGGTGGGGCTGGTTGGTTGGCAAGTTTAAGGTTGCAGCGACGGTATAATCAACACCGGCCCCTCCGCCGTGGTTTCCGCTTTGCCTTTTCGCTGTAATGCGCTTAGCATTTCTCCGGTTCAGGAAATCGCTTTATATGGCTTTCGGGGCGTGGGGATGGGTCTCTTCTGGGCCTCCTCCTGGTCGCCGTGCCTCCGGGCCCCCTGAGTTGCATAATTTTGGCCCCAATTGGCGGCCAGGGTTTGTTTATTTTGGCCTGGCGTGATTCACATTCGAAGGTTCGCCAGCAAATACGATTTCCAAATGGTTGTTTTCGAGGGGGCGTGAATCATTACGCCGCCCCCATTTCGCCTCCATCTCCGCCCACACATCTAACCTGTTTATGTCTACGCTAATCGTCCTTCACCCTCTGGCCCTGGCTTACCTCCAAGTGTGTTTTTTGTGGTTTTATCAGCCGCCGAGGCGTTTATCAGCCACAAAGATTTAGACTCTGGCACGCTTTTTCATCAGCCACCAGCAAGTTTTCGTGGTGGTGGGGTGTTTACCAAAAAAATATTCTCGGAAAATAAAGAAATGAATAAAAAACAAAGAGCCCCCCTTCCCACCCCTCCGTCTGTCTGACAGTTGTTGGTTTATTTGTTTACACTCTCCTGGCTTTTTATTGCTGAAGAATTCGCCAGAGTCCATTGTTTTTGGCCGAGTTCGTGGCGTTTCTGTTGTTTTCCTCGCTCACTAAACTTCCCCGCGCGTTCTTTTCCTAGGCATTTGGCATTCAACTGCATTTTATTTATTTATTTCGGGGCAATTCAAGCAGCTTTTGTTTTGCTCTCCTCGTTTGATTGAGTTTAAAATAAACGCAAGTAACACCCCCCAGAGAGAGGTATGCGAGTGTGTCTGGCCTACTTCATCATTTAGGACAAGTATCGCCCATTTTGGGGGCTACTGGCCTCTTCTGCTACTCTTCTAAGGGGTTCTCGATCACAACTAGTTGCGATGTGAGCCTTAAGTTATATAATCGATCGCTGCTTGATTGCCTAAATTCATCAGTGGCTCTCGCGCTCGTCTTCATTGCATTTTGAATACCCCGAAGATCGCATTGTTCCATCAATTGAAATGCATGCCCCATTGACGTAGGAACCTCTGGCACTTCCTCTGGAACACTTGTTGCCCTCTTTTGTTGAAGTATTTACACAGCAGATAATAATAGGTAGACTTTGAACGATCAAGGCAGTCTTTAATTTAAAATGGAATAACTATCAAATTTAAATAAATTCTTAACTCTTAGGTTATCCTTAGGTTAGTTGGGAATATACAAATCATAGAGATCAATCAAGATGTCCGTTCAAATCACCCGTTTCTCTCACTGTATTCATTTGTAAGGGGTAGTTATCTCAGGGGCCTATCGCCTGCAATCTAATCACTCTCTTATCAGGTAATTGCTGCGTGCCAGGGCTGTGCTCCGCTCCGATAAGAGCTTTTGCCAATTTCTTGGCATGGCGAGGGGGGCGACGCAGCAAGCCGCCATCTCGTGATCAAGGGAGACACAACCAGAAACCAATCTCCTCGAACCTCATCAAACCAGCTGTGCGAGCAACTTGCTCACAAGTATTTACAAAACTAGTTTGGGCCGTTTCGCTGCACTTGCGAATTCTCATTTTCGATAGTGCAAAAATGTATATAGACGGGTTGAAATGGAGGGACGGTCGGGTGCCGAAAGCGACGACGGGCGGCTCGCTACGCACACCGAACAACAGCGACGACGTCGCGACGTTGGCTTCGTCACTCGACTCGCCCTGCAGTCTCTCCCACAAAATTTCTCGGCGCTTTCCTCTGCAGTCGTCCCACGAACGTTGGCGCTTTTGGTCGAACAAAAAAATTGGCTCGCGCGGAAAATGATTGCCCCGCCCCTTGGTGCCCTGGGAAAAGTGCTGGTGGCATATTGAAGCAAGTGTAGGAATAACCAACACTCAAATTCACACAAAACAGTCTAGGCAACTCCGGAAAGATCTGTCAGCAGTAAATACAAAGTGAAAAGGTGGACAAGTGATCAGTGTAGTGACAACTGTGACAATAACAGATCTGCAAAATGCTAAAGTTATTCAAAAAGTCGAAAGACAAAATACCCAAGTCGGAGATCATAACCGAACCCAATGAGCCCAGGACCCCACCGGTCTCCAAATGCGGCAAGCCGCTGCAGCTGGACAACTGTCGGCGGGAGGCAAGTATATACACATATCCGAGAGATAAAACCTGAACTTTGGCCAAGATATCACGTTCGAAAATAGTCTATATGTATCGTGTGGAACCGATAGTAATTCTGCGGCCCTGGCGTTATTGCGTCATGTCTAGCGTTTAGTGTTTAGCCTTTCGAAATTCCCAGAAATCTGCATGAATCTGCGGTTCAACTTTCGAGGGGTTCCACTCTACCTTTGTTTATTTCGTTAAAATTGCCAAGTTCTGGCTGCTTGCCTTCATCGCTTATCGATCAAACCGTTTATCAGCGGCTCAGTGTGGGCACAGGACAGGAAAGCGGAATTGAAATCGCTTTACGTACTTGTTTATGGTCTCGAAAGCGGCCCTGCAGGTCGATAAGGCAAGACGGAAAAACAATTGACGGTTCTATAAATTTCAGTGACATTTTGGTTTTTATCTTATCGGTGGCTATATATACACACATATGCGTGCCATATAGCGTATATTGCGTTTGTAAGCCAAAGGAGAAATGGCGCAGCGATAAGGGGGACGGAAAAAATATATTTTTTAAAACTCTTAAGCAGAGAGACACTTTGGCCGAAGGTGTGCTTTGCGATAAGATACCGCGAGTGCCTTACTAATTCCACATCTCTTACTTTACTTTTTAACCCCACAGCGCCGCCTGCACAAAGAGCTGATGTCCTTGATCAAGGAGCCGCCACCGGGCGTAACCGTCGACACCGAGAGCGTACAGCAAAATTTATCCGAGTAAGTACGGTCAGCAGAGTGGGCCAAGTTCAGCGCAACACTCAAACTGGTTTAGTTCGAGCCCGAAAAAAAAATCGCAACCTAATTCAGCCACCCGTGCAGTTTTGCCGTAAAGCCAAGACAATGCATGCAATTGTGGGGGACGACTGACACTCATCGTCATCACTCTTTTCTTTGTGAATTACAGATGGAAAATAAACATTAAGGGTTTCGAGGGCACTCTTTACGAGGGCGAGGACTTCCAGCTGCTGTTTAAATTCAACAATAAATATCCCTTCGACTCGCCAGAGGTGGGTTTGGCCTTGAAAATATTTAATTCAATACATTTATATGGCATCTCTTTGTTGATGGCAGGTAACCTTCATCGGCACCAATATACCTGTGCATCCACATGTCTACAGCAATGGACACATCTGCCTCTCCATTCTGACCGAGGACTGGTCGCCGGCGCTGTCCGTGCAGTCCGTGTGCCTTAGCATAGCCTCCATGTTGAGCAGTTGCCGCGAGAAGAAGCGTCCTCCGGACAACACTCTCTACGTAAAGACCTGCAATAAGAATCCCAAAAAGACTAAGTGGTGGTATCACGGTGCGTATGCGTAATTTTTCACTTGTAGCCCAATAACTCAAGTGATTGTTTATTGCAGACGATTCTGTTTAGTTAGGAACTGCAATTTATGATTACTGCCCCCGCTGATGTTTGCTTTTCGCATCCGAAACCAACAACAACAACAACAAGCAGAACAGCAACTTCAACAACACCTGATTGCCATTCAAAAATAGAAGCAGACCCCACACTGAGCCAGAGCAGCCCCAAGTGCATTCGGATGCGAACAAAGCGAATCGAGTCAGCGAGAAGACGACCAGTAGTGTTTGGCAAACAATCACAGCGCATGCAGCAGCCGCGCTTCTAATTCTAGCTATTGTATAATCATCACAAGGCGTGTGCGAAACAAACAACTATTATTAAATGTTAACATTTTAATTAGATTGTTAAGAGACCGAAATTTAATGTCTAAATTAAATGTTATGCTACCATCTAATGACTACCCAGGCGCATGTAAAGCAACCAAACGTCTGATACAGATCTGCTGCTGCTTCCACATTCCACGTCTTGGGCATCGTCCGAGATGAAGCATGATCCAGGCTTCAACTTATCAGCTTATGTTAACTTTGTATATGTTTGCCCTTAAAATCCAAGCAAAACTCATGAAACCATAAGTTAAGTCGAGACATTTCAAATGTATTAGCCGCCACATCCCGGTCCCCCAATCATCTGTAATCTTCCCACCATCAACCCATTCGTAGGTCCTTAAGTTAATCCCCCACTTCGTGTACTTGGCTAGGATAGAGTCCAGCTGTGGCCAAAACCGATCGCAGAACATATTTACCTCTTAACTGTGCAAGTAGAACGTAGAACTTAGACGGGCCACTCGTCGCAATATCGATATAATTTAACTGTAATCTGTAATCTGTATAAAGAGTCCGATCTAGCATACGCCCTATGCTTACAAATATTTACTGTTAAAAAGTAATTACAAATAAAAACCAGTCTGTAATCAAAGGCGACACTCGTTCCCTGCTTCAACGTAGGATATAGCTTTATTTCATTATATATTACTTATAATACGATTACAATTTGAATGGACTCGTTTAGGACACATTTGTTTAACAAGGTAAGCGTTCTGTGCTCTATCGTTTTCAGCTCCCCTGCCTGGGGGTTCAGATTCCTCCTGCTGGCACGCCCGCATTGGGCGTGTAGTAAAGACCCTGCAGCGCCTCTTGGAGCGCCCGCTCGCAGGCAAGGGCAGAGGTGAAGCCGCCGGCGTTCTCCTGCGGCGTCTCTGAGCGTATGTGCGATGTATAGCCCATAGATTCGATATCGCTGGTTTCTGGCGGGTCAGGACCATCGGTGACGGCAATCAGGGGCTCGTAGACGAACAGCGGACCCTCCTCCGACTTGGGCACGGGCAGCAGAGTGGGATCCGCGGTCTGACCAAACTTGATGCCCGTAGAGAACTCGTTGGCCGGCTTCGGCGGCGGTAGTTGCTTCTCCTCCGCACGCTGCTTCTCCGCCTTCTCGGCGAACTCTGTGACGATTTGCGCGGCATCCTTACCGCTGTACATCAGCTCCTCGATAAGAGCCTGCTTATCCCGGGCCTTCTTCTTCTTGTGCTCGTTCTCCAGCTCCTCGAGCTCCTTCTTGCGCGCCTCCTCCTGCACGCGCTCCAGTTCCAGCATCTCCTCCAGCGCGTGCTCATCGCGCCCGACGCGCGTCTTGTTTCGCTGTATAACCTCGCGGTTATCGCGCTTGTAGGCCTCGATGCGCTTGTTAGTCTCTATGATCTCAATGTTGTTGCACAGATTGTACACAATATCCTCGATCTCCTCCAGGTAGTCGTTGTACTCCTCCAGCGACTCAAAGTCCTCCTCCCGTTTGTTATAGTCTCGCAGAATGCGACGCCTGATATCCACCTCCTTCTCCACCATGGGATCCTCAAAGAGCTGCACACGGAAGTTGTTCCTGCGCAGGGGAACCATGCACTCTGGGCAGGCACCAGATCCCTTCAAGAAGAGCAGGTCCACGCAGGACTCGCATAAAGTGTGTCCGCAAACGTTGACCATCAACTTCAGCGACGGGTTGCGGTACTTGGTGGTCTTGCACCGCGGGCACGCCTGGTCGTCCATGGCGGCTGGCTATGGTCTATGCCACTACCAACTTCTAGAGGATTTAGTCCCGCCAAATATCGAGAGAAATTGACAAAAAACAAGAGATCTTCGGCGGGTAGTTTAAGGTGAACTTTTTTTTTATTTTACTTATTTTCAAAGTAAGCTGGGCACACTAATACTTACGTACTATCGATAGAAACAGCGCGGTATCGATAGTAGTATCGCATGTGACTACAAAAAAATTAAATGTATTCGATACTTTTCAAATTGAATTTAAATTTTAATTTTTAGTTTAATTGGTGATTTTAAATTGTTAGTGTATAATTTAATATTATTATTCTCTTATTAATTATTTAGAGCCAAAAAATCTTTTGGATTTCGATCATCTTTGTGTTTTAATAACATAAGATAAATCTTCTGAAAGAACCGAGCGAGAAGTACATACGTGTCAGTGTGATCTTTATGGCTCTTCTTTTTTAAACCAAAAGAATCAAAGAATGAAAACGGGGGCAGCTATTTTAGTTTTCAAAATCAAAAACGGTAGATTCTAGTGAAAGCTTGTTGAGGAGAGCCATTCTGCTCTGCTGGCCTCGTTCTGGAACCGCTTGGCACGGCGGTTATAGAAAAGAAATTGATACAATTGTACTGCAAATGGCAAAATGCTATCCTTGTATATGGTTTTTGTTCGAGTCGATTAATTACTAGATAGATAGATAATACCTTGCTCAAAAAGAGACGATAAGACCAACTAGCATACGTCCAACAATTTAAGAAATAAGAAATATTTCACACTTTTGTAAAATATGTCAACAGTCATTTTAGGAATTTATACTACAAAATAAGTGTTTTTTTTTTTTAATTTGCTAATGTTTTGATGTCTTTCCACCTCTATTTTATACACAAATAAATCCAATCGCAACCTAAGGCATCGATTTATATTTTGAGTTTTCTGTCAAAGGATTCAATTTTAAATATATTCTTTCACGGGTGCTGGTCACACTTAATGGCCCACAGACATTGGCGTTGCCAGAGTGTGCGTTGTCCTTCCGCTGGTTCAATTGTACTAGTTCTTTTTCAAATTTAAGCTAAACTCGTTAAAAACTCCAAAGGTTTAACTTTCCATTTCAAGTGCAACAAAACCCGTTAAGTTCTTCAATAAAAGAAATACGGCCAACAAGTCGTTCGTTTAACATTTTTATTTCAAACAGCATACGCGGTAGTGGTTGTTCACATTAAGAGTAGAGTTTAAATATGTGTTTTCTTTTTAATATACACGCATTTTTATGTCATACGTATATTTTGATATATGTGTATATATATGTATGTTCTGAGTGTATATGCATTAAATAAATCAATAATTTACATTAACCACAAGTCCTGACAGCCCGAGCTGCACGAGAGCGGACACTTGTTTTACATTTGTTTTAGCTGCTTTATTAATTAACATTTACAATTAAATACAATAAACATTAGTAGTAGTGACATCATCATCATCATATATACCTCCTATATACTATATATATGCGCGCGTGAATGCAGGGTGTAGATAAAAGCATTGCCAAGCAGCAGTTGATCGAATAACCCAAAAGATCGCGGGCTCGTGTGTTAGTTGCATGTGTAATACTTGAGAAAAGGTTTGTGGGGTGAGTGGGTGTCGGGTGTGGGGTGTGGGGTGTGAGTGGGGTGCGATATAAAAGCACTGTTGTTGAAATACGAGGCGTACTCTAAGAAGAATTAGACTAACTTATCGCTAAGAACTTTTGCTTTATACAGGTTGATTTAGTCGAATATATATACGTAGGTATATCCATAAGTGGGGGAGGAAAGAATATATAGAGACAGAACCCAAAGGAGAATCGAAGGCGTCTTGTCTTTGTATAGGTTCTCAACAAATTTGTCGATTCAATTAGCAATCGAATCACTGTAAATATCACAATTTAGTTAACACATATGCAATAATAATTATAATAACTAAAATAAATGTACGTAAGCTGCTCGTCGTCGTCGCCATTAACAATAGAATCTACCAGTTTTAAGGGCGGCAGCCGAAAGAGTCAGAAGCATGCCCGCCTAGCCTTGCAGGGCGGTGACCTCTTCCTCCAGCTCGGCGTCCACCTCGTCGATCTTGGAGCCGCTGCAGCCTCGACACTTGCAGCAGATGATGCATGGAGCAGCCAAAAGTAATAGGGGCGAGGCCACCAGCAGCAGGATGCCGAAGCCGGCAAAGATACCGATCACCTGGGCGCGATGCCAGACCACGGAGGCGCGCGAGTGACCCAACTTGTTCTTGCACGGTCCCTTGTCATAGTGACGCAGCAGAAAGTCGTCCTGGCAGGGATTAAATTTGATTATAATAACTAATTTCCAAACATTTCGTGGGAATAACTCACGTCCAAACTGGCCAGGCAGTACCAGCAGAAGACGTGCTTGCAGCGCTTGCACATCATCTGGGCACAGCCCTCGTCCTTCTCGATGGGCACCGCGCACATGGGGCAGCACTTGATCAGCTCGTTGTCGAACGGTATCCCAATGTCGTCCTGGCCATCGGCAATCAGACGGCGTCCAAACTCATCGCAACTAATGTTTGGATGGTACTGTGGACAAAAAATGAGGGAAAACCATCAATAAATTTGCATTTCCATTACGAAAATTCCAAATAAATAAAACAGCTACATGGAAAACATGAAACAAAACATAAATCCCTAACATTTGACCACTTTGCTTTGTATTTATGCAGGAGATTTATTTATTTATTTTTGTTTTTGTTATGAGTGCTCAACTTTTTAACCTGGCATAGCATTTTATAGTTTTTTGTGCTGGGATTCTTGTTTTTTTATGTTTTGTTTTATATATTTTGGCAATTTCATTGCAAAACAGTGACATCATTTTTGATAAAACCACATTTTTCCCCGTCAGGAAATGGGAATTTAAATTGGCAACTCTGTGTAAATGAATATTGCAAAACGAATAGGTTTTATAGGTTCTTAAACTGATTTATTTTATGTTGATGATTTCCTGTTCAACCATTAGGATTTATTATAAATTCTGTAATTTAAAAATTTTAGTTATTAAAGAAAAAGTCAAACATCTAATCAATGGACTTTTTCAATCACTAAAGTTAACAGAAATTCTAAAATAGTTCAGTAATTAAACCCTCATCTGATTATAGTTACTATATTTTTTATACAACTAAACTTACCGCCTTCTTGCAGAGGCCACAGAACTCGTCCTTGCAGGAGGGACAGTGCACGGCCACGGAAAGCACAACTGCTGTTCCGTTTCCGGCCTCGGCACTTCCACCTGCACTACCCGATGCCGCCTCCTGCTGTGGCGTGTAGCTCTGCGAGGTCGAAGGCGACTCATCCATTTGGCAAATGGCGCCGGGCTGAGGAGCTCCGCCCACCACGCAGATGGTCTCGCAGCCAGCACGCGGGCACCAGGTGCGCGTCTTGTCCAACTCGATTTCTACGGAATTTACAAAGAAATTTATGAATATATGGCTAAGGAAAAACTACTAAGAGAAAACCAACCTCGATTTAGGCGATAGCGATGATGCTTCTTCAGCTGATTCGTTGTGGTCAGGCTAGCGATCTCCGGCAGGGAAATGGCCCCCTGAGCCGGACACTTGGCGTCCGGGCAGGAGATTTCGTAGGCGCCCTCAGAGATCTCGAATTCCACATAGGCCCGCATGCACTGCAAGGAGAAAGGAGGAACGGTGATGAATTAGCTAAACAATTTGCAGGTCTTAGGCATAATCCGACTAAAGCCAAGGATACAACTCACTCTCCCTTTTCCCGGGGAGGCAAAAGTTTGTCAGGGCATTTAGCAAGTTTGGCTGGCATAGTTTTGGCCAACAAAACCGCAGGGCATGGCCAGCCGCAAAGCTGCGGCTGTCAGAATTATTTCATTTGCACTCACACCCTCCGAACACACGCACACACACCCAGAGTGGCACACAAAAGTTGCCGCCTTTGCGGAAGCTTTTATAAATAAAGATTTAAAAAGTTTTCCCTTTCCTTCCCTGCTTCCTTCCGTCCGGCAGACATTAAAGTAATGGAATTGCAAACGGGAACCAAAACCGAAGGAAACTCTCAAACGCTTCGACACCAAGCATATTTTCCCCCCTTTCCACTCTCCCCCAATGAATTAAGGGTGGACCAAGCCAACAAACGGTATTTGGGCAGAAACTTTCTGTGTGTCCGTGGCACAAAAAGTGTCTCCTGCGGCTACTCTCCTCTTCTTGCGGCCAACTTTCTGTTTAGCCGTAAATAATTAAAAGTGAATTTCTCTCTTTTACTCTCTCCCGTTCTGTCGCTCTGTCCCGACCGCTTTGGGACGCTTCACGCTTTCCCGGGCTCCCGGAAAACTTTCTGTTTGCTGCCTGAAAAATAATGAAACTAGATATTACGCTCAAAATGAAAGTTTTCATTTTCACAGAGCAGTTGCATTAAGGCACTCTGAGAAATTTGTGCCACATAAAATAAATAAAACTATAAGTAGGTCAATATTGGCTGAGAATTCCTGTGTAGAAGTCAAAAAAGCAAAAATGTCTATCAAAATTCCTAATCTTTCTAAATAAAACCTAGCTTATGTTCTTTAACTTATTTCCTTTTCCAGTTTATTAATTCTAGCAAAAGAAACGTACATTTCTGATGTGTATTTTAAGCTTAGTTTTTTTAATTAAACTCTGCACTTTTCGTTATCTCCTTGCGTTATATCCATTTTTCCGAGTGCTTCCATCGCCAAGCCCGGCTGAGCTTAATCCCTGCGTTGAAGGCTTTCACCTGGCCATCAGTCAGTCAGGCCGCAGCAGCCACAGCCTCCGGATTTACAATGCGCGCAAAGGCTTTAAGCCGGCACTGAGCCCGGGGCCAGGACGGGAGGAGGGGGCACAACTATAACCTGGACAGATGGCCGAGTGCCAGCTGGAGTGCCACAATTTAGTGGCCTGCAGCCTGCAGCCAGGATTGTGGTGCAACTGATGCCGCTGGCATTTCCTGGCATTGCCACTGCCTACATCCTTTGTATGTGTGAACGAGAACTGCATACTTTTCGATTTATCAGAGCTATAGATACGGGCGGGGATTATGGTTTTGGCACACACAAATTTATTGGTAATACACTCCGTTTCACTTGAATAGCACAAAAACATTTTCATAATTACTTGTTTATATCTTAGCAACTGCTTGATCTAATGAAATGATTGTTGGTGTTTTATTTTCGTCATATTATATACTCTCTTCCAACAAAAATTGGAAGTCTGAAAATGTACCGTTTAAATGTACCGTAATTTTATTTTCAAATTGCTTCAATAACTTGCACCTTTTTGTTTCACTTGAATAGCACATTTTAGATTACGTCTCATTTCAGCAGCCAAGGAGATTGAATCAAACACTTTTTTTGATTAATTTATGAATGTTAAACATAGTTTAATCATTTTGTGCAATTATGGATCTTGGAACGTCACTAAGTCACAAAGAACAGATCTAAATACAAAGCTATATTGATTGTGACCTTTCAGTAGCTAATATAGCGAAAAAAATTGGAAGAAGCAAAAAGTCGTATATAATTTTATAAAAAACAAACAAAACTATGGAAAAAATATGGAAGGTCGCAAAAGTTGTGTTCTTAGCGACTCAGATAAGCGTGCAATTCTGCGGGAAGCCTCAAATTCCCATGACTCTGTGAGCAAAATAAGGGAAAAGCAGGTGTTGACGCGAGCAAAACTACTGTTTGGCGAGTTATTTCGAAAGCTAAACATCTAAAACGTTTGAAACTTTAAAAAAAACCACCGCTTAACCCCAAACGAAAGGAAGCACGGTTGACCTTTTGCCGCGTCAATATGTCATGGTGTAACGAGCGGGAGTGCGTAGTGTTTTCTGATGAAAAAAGTTCAATTTGGAGGGGCCAGATGGCTGCAATTATTATTTTCATGATCTGAGGAAAGAGACGCATCAATTGGAGCGTTTTTATAGTCGAGTAGGCGGAGTTATGGTTTGGGGAGCCATATCTTACCATGTGACTTGTGAGCTCCAATTCTTATCCTCAAACATGAACGCAAAAGCGTATCTAAACGTCCTTGAAAAGGCTTTTCCACCATTGGAAAATTTTTTCAATAATTTGCCTTGGACATTCCAGCACGAAAATGCGCCAATACATACTGCAGGTATTGTAAAACCTTTTTTAAAAGATAAAAATGTTGAAACTCTGAACTGGCCACCATACTCGCCAGATCTGAATATAATTGAAAATGTTTGGGGATGGCTGGCCAGAAAGGTTTATGAGTCTGGCAAACAATTTTCAACAAAAGAAGAACTAATTGACGCCATTCAGAGGGCCTGGGCTACAATATCCTTAGACTACATTAAAAGTCTATATGATTCGATGCCCAACAGGATCTACGAGGTTATATTGAATAAAGGAGGCTCAACCCATTACTAAATTAACAAATATATATGTATTATTAATCACTATTGAATAAAAACACATTTCCTAATATTTAAGTTCGTTAAATATACTTTAAAACAAAAAAGTGCTATTCATGTGAAACAAAATTGTTGTGCAATTTTTTAAGTTTTTATGTTTTTTTGTTAACATTTATTAATTGTTAATTTAATCTAAGTTTTGTTACTTTTCTTATATTTAAAATTGATTACACTATAAATAGAAACCTAAACATCAGCGAGTTTTCTTTTGGGTTAAAAGATTTCAAGATTTGAAATTGCATAAAAAAATGTGCTATTCAAGTGAAACGCAGTGTATATATGGGTTGTACGAGTGGAGCGGGTTTAATTAAATTTTCGAAAAATCAATAGCCCAGGAATTTCACTTCCAATGGCTTTGCAGGGACTTTGCCGTGACAGATGTGAGAATTTGTCAAGCGAATAAATGTAGAATGTAAAGCCTAGTACTCTGACGAGAAAAACCCGCTGTCTAAATTATACAGCGGAATCGCTCTTTATTTCGCTAGCGAGCTAGTGTGACCAAAAAAAATTAAGGAAAATCCTGAAATGCCATGAAATTGGTCACACTGGACAGCTGCTTGTAAACAAATATTCAAAAAAAATATTAAAAATATTAATAAATATGGCATTAAAATGTCCTTTGTGGGTTAAATTCCATATTATGGGCTTCCCCTTGACAGCCCCTATCAATGCCACCTTTTTCCTTCAACTTTCCCTCCATTAGGGGTGTCTAAATAAATCAAATGAATTATTTAGACAGCGCGATATCAGCTGTTTACTATCTTGATCTGGCAACGCCATTCAATTTTCGCAGGCTTCATTTTCGTCGTCAGAGTACCGAAAAAAACGACGTGTCTAAAAGTTCTTCTTCTTTTTTTTTCGACACCGTTTTTTTTATATGGAGTTTGGCCGCTGTCTAAATTTATACAGCGGTTTTTTCTCGTCAGAGTACTAGGCTTAACCGCATAAAACATTTATGAGGCCAGCAGCACATACACACAATTGGCAAGACAAATTCGGCACATTAAGGCGGCCTTTTGTGAGCCAAGGCAATTGTGTAGGCCATTTAAAAAGCCAACTGCCGCAAAGAGATTGCGAGACTCACTCGCAGTGACAGTTGTCCTTGTCCTCGAACTCCTCCTCCCCCTCGTCCTCGTACATGTGTATAAATTAGTATTAATAATGTCTGTTTGGTAAATGTTTCAGGGACCGGCAAGAAATATGTATGCCGAGCGGAGAAAGTTTACATTTAATGTATGAATTTATTTATATTTTATCAGCTGCAGCTCTCTGGCTCCCGCTTTTCGCCCCTCTGTCTCTGTATTTATCAACATTTCCATAGTTATTGCGGAATAATTCTGATATATGGCTCTTCTGTATATATTTTCCGTTCGCTTTTTCCTTCTTTCCCATTTGCGGATCTTAGCAAACGAAATTCTTGTTGATTTTTGTCCAAGCATTTTTTCCTTTGAATGCAAAAAGTTTCGTCAATTTAAATTATTTACGCAAGGAAGCAGCTCAATCAAAGGAGATGTCTTTGTCGCAACCAAATTATAAGAATAACAAAAAGAGCAGAAACATTTCTTTTTAAGTTGTTTTAATCAAATATTAAAGAGACAATTTGTTTTCAAACTTATCTTAGCTAAAAACACAAATGTAGTCACATAGTTTTGTAGCTTAAAATAACATAATCTTGGCTTAAAGAACTCTTCTGAAATTATTATTTTGACTCAAGTTGGAGCCCATTTCAGCTTAGGATATAAACACATTGCTGGCTATATTCCAGCTCCAATAAAACCGTAATAAATCCACCAATAAATCTGTGACTCACAGGACATAATTTTTCTCAAAAAAAGGAGAAACACAATCAAGTTTATTGTAACATACTTTGCTGCGAGCAACCCAAGAAATTGGCCAGGGAAAGTCCCAGGAACATTAAGCGACATTGTGCATAAAAAGCTTAATGAAAGCCGAACATCCTTGACGCACACAGATACACACTCGCATCCTGGCCAAAAGATATTGCCAATTACACGCACGCTCGCCCGGAATGAAAGCGACGCAGTTCGTCCGCTTTAATCTAACTCATTAGCGGCGACACTTTAATTAATATGCCACGGCAAGGCGGCAAGGCAGCAAGGAGTCCTGCTAGGTGACAGGATCGCTGACCGGCAAATGAATTGCCACGACAACGTGCGCAAGACGCGTCATAAATGCAAATTTATGGCA